GTAAGTAAGACTCGAACCATGATAAAACCACCCCCCTAAACCCATAATGGTACAGTTTCTTCATAAGAATAGAATGATTTACACAATCGAAGGCCTTAGCCAGATCGCAAAAAACCGCGGCCGATACATTTGACTTATTTAAAGAAGAAAAGAGTTGTGAAAGCAAATTGAACATAGCATTATTAGTACCTGTATTGGTGCGAAAGCCAAATTGTGCATTGCTCAATAATTTATTGCACTCAAGATATGACATGATTCGAGTTTTTGTTAGTTTTTCAATTAATTTAGACAAGGTAGACAACATTGAAATGGGCCTAAAACTAGCAGGGTCAGATTCAATTCCACCCTTATGAAGCGGGATCACTAAAGCCGATTTTAAGCTCGAAGGAAATACCCCGCTCGTCCAAGAGTGATTTAAAGCTTTGACTAAAATATCGGCTATAATAACTTCAGGCATATTAAGCAATACTCTGACAGACAATCCATCCTCTCCCGATGCATTTTTGTTCTTGATGCCTTTCAATGTTTGCTTAACTTCAGCTAAATCGGTTGGTGTAAATGCAAATGAATTGGGTACTGAAATATGAGACATATACAACATTGGATCTTTACGAATTCCTATGTTTTTTGTTAAATTTTTCCCAATATTACAATAGTACTGATTCAGGTTGTCAGAAGAAACTTCCGGATGTGATAGTGACCTCTGAAAATTATTAGAACGAATATTATTTATAATATGCCAACATTCTTTTTGTTTGTTAGAAGAATTACTTAGACGATCGGAGTAGTACCGTTTTTTTGCAGCTGCAATCAGTCTACGAAACAAAGACCTGTAGGAACCAAAGTAAGAATAAAAAAATGGACTATCTGTATATTTTCTAATCCTATGAAGACAGCGAAGATTCCTAGAGGAAGTTTTCAAGCCCTTGGTAAACCATGGTTTTTCCCTTTTTGTTTTTATATTTTTTACAGGAAAACAATTGTTAAAAATCCTTGTCGTTTTCTGGTGAAATGAACTTAAAGGCTCATCAGATGTCAGCACTTGATTCCAGGTTTCCCAGCTACATGATTGGTAAAACCTATTAAAGCTGCTTCTGTCGAATATTCTACCGCGCCTAGATTTTTGTTTATTTATCACTCTGGGCTCCGATATGTCACAAACCACTGCCTCATGATCTGACAATGCTGAATTAACTACCCTACATTCTACCTCTTCCTGACTATAGCTGGAACAAATATAGTCAATTAAGGTTGATGTTGTTTTTGTTATACGTGTGGGTGTTGTGACATGCATATTCAGGGCATTAGAGATAAAAATATTTTTTAATGCAACGGTGGATATTGCATTGCCGTCTCTGTAATCTATGTTAAAATCCCCAGCAAGCAGAACATTAGATGATGAAGAAATTTCAGCCAAAAGACAATCCAGGCCTGTCAAAAATTCAGTTGTAATAGATTTGGGTGATCTATAGACACAGACTACATAGAGGTTTAGTTTTCTTGAAAAAATCATAGTGAACTCAAAAGTTAATTCTTTTAGCAGAATATTAAATTTGTTTATGGGTTCAAATAAATTTAGATCCAAAAAAGACTTCCTCAGTAAAATCATACAACCCCCATGCTCATTGCTAGAACGACAAAATCTTGACACAATAACATAGTCAGGTACATTAACTAATTCATATTCTTTCAGCCAGTGTTCCGTAATAAGGACTATATTTGGATTATTATTCTCATTTAAAAACAAGTGTAGTTCGTTTGTTTTATTTCGGAGTGATTGAATATTTAGTAGTAAAGCAGAATTCTGATGTTTGTTATTTTTGTTTTTTACGCCCCGATTATCAACTAAACTAATGTTGACCGCTTTGTGTGGCCTGGATCTAAAAAATCAACCTTGTCACTTTCGAAACAACTTTCAGCAGTCAAATCTACCACATCCAAATCCAAACCCAAATCTAAACCTAAATCCAAATCTAAATCTAAATTCTGGGAAGGGGCCCGTTCACCCAACCGAGCTGACTGAGCACACTGACCATAATTTAAGTTATTTAATTCCTCAACAAGCGAAACAAATTTCAAATTAGAGAGGGGTTTTTTGTTAAAAAAATTGTTAATAGAATTAAACATCAACTTTGAAAGAGATTTAAGGCCACTTCTCTTTAAGAAAGGTGTGCTTCTAATATAGTCAGCTGGTCGAAAGGCGTTCTCCACATCCAGCAAATCTACACTTATCGAAAAAGACTTCAATAGCTCAACATACTTAATAAGGCTTTGATTCATCCTATGTACTAAATCTTGCTTATATCTAGATAAAAACCTAGCTGGCATAGTGCAAATTAAAAGATTAGTTTGAAAACACTTATTAGAAAGATTTATTATACTTTTTTTGTCAACGTATAACTTACTGAAGCCAGCAAATGTAATAACAAAGTCATTTTGTGTAAAGCCCTTGATGTAACAGTCCAAATCCATAACAATATCTGACAACCCTGCATTTGGTTTGCAAACTGTTTGAAGAATACAACCCTCACCAAAGCAACTGCTAATGTATTCGTGTAGATATTTGCCATATAAATCAGTTAGCAGTAATATTTTGGGTTTTTGCACATATGTTTTTTGCTGAACATTACCGGGCGTGTTATTGTCATATACACTTTCCACGTTTCTTTTTTTCTGCGGCTCTCTATAAAAGTTTTTATTTTTATCCTTTTGCAATTTATTTTCAGTTGTGGGCTTCTTCATTGCTGTCTGCGTTTGGCATAATTTGTTTTTAAGTTCTCTTATTTCTGTGTTGTATAGTTTATTTTCTTCCTCCATGGTATTCAGACTGACAATCATTTGCTTCTGCAATTCTTTCAGTTCACATAGTTCTTGTTTTAATTTATTATTAGTATTTTGAATGTTTTTAACCTTTTCTAAAAACTCTCGATTCTCATCTGTTAAATCACTAATTCTGATATTTAAGTTTTTAATTTCTGTTCCTTTTTCAGCTTCAAGATTTCTAAGTTCCAGCTGTAGACTGTAGTTGGATTGATCTCCAGACTTTTTAGATATATTCAATGTTTCAATTTTATTTTTATTACAATTATTAAGCTTTGTAATTTCTAATGCCATATTTTGATTTTTTTTCTCACTTTCATGTAGATTTTTGGTTAAATTTTCCAGATTTTCATTTATTTCTTCTTTTTCCTTCTGATGGTGAATAATTTCCTCATTTAGTTTTTGAACGTCCTTGTTTAATTTTTCAATTATATTCACATGGTATTGAATTTTCTTATGCATTTCATCCTCTCTATCATATACAAGATCCTCAAAGCTTCTGGACCCTCTCTGCAGTCTGAGAATGTATTTATTTTTGTCCAATATCTCTATTTGTAGTTTTTTAATCTCTGTCTCCAAGTCGTCATTTTTAATCTGATACTCTTCCATGATAATGTCTTTACTTTTTATCTCATTTAGACTTCTCTCATGCGCCTTTTTCAGATGTGACAGCTCTTCAATACAGCTAAAAAGCTGAGTTTTACACTCATTGCATCCAAAAATCAACTTTCTCTGACCCAAGACAAGACAATCGTTTTCAGTTACTGTCGTCTCCAAACAGATTTTACAAAAAGCTCTCATACAAAAATCGCAACATGCTCCAAACAACCCTCCATCCCTCATTTGTGATCTTCTTTTATTGAAACAATTTTCTTGGCAGACTGTACACTGCATTTTTATTAGTTTGTGTATATAATTATATAATTGGAATTCCCACAACTGATAAGGTTTTTTGGTAGGTACCACAAATAAAAATAATAAAACAGGTATTTCCGATAAAAAGATGTTTAGACTATCTGTAGGAATGTCAGCACGCCAAAAAAAAAAAAGGAGGCAAGAAATGAGAATTTATACTGGTGTCGCGATAGGATTAATGGAAAGTTTTTTCAATTTTACGGGAGTTTTGTTCGAGTTACTCATAGGGGCCCTTCACTAAACAATTGTCCACATTACAACCATCACAATGAAACCACAAACCATATAAATAACGATACTGAACCCGACTTTCACTACAAAATTTACGGAGCGTCAATAATCATGACCTTACACGGCAACGGCAAGGATGCCATGTGTCAAATTCACCCTATACAAAATACACCCTATTCCAATCTTCAATCAAAGAATACCCATATCCAATCCGTTCATCTTGCTCACAAAAGAAGAGTTTTGGACCACTGCAGAAGAATGTCCGCAGCTTGAAAAATCCTCACACACTTCAAATTATTAACCACAATGATAAACGAATGCCCTTCAACCCACATAAACTATTGAAGGACTTCTATCCAACGTCTCAATGAAGAAGCAATACTAGTCATTCAGGACTACACAATGTGAAAAATCCCGTATACAGTCATATAGTATATGCTATATTCTGTGTACCTTCATGCCCAATCGAAATCAAGAACCAAGTATATGGAAAGGAGGAGAAAACTGAGTTCCAACTCATCTTGGATATACCAAAGTTCTCGTATGTAGAAAAAAAAAGAAGCCCTAAAACTACAGCTCAAAGAAGTCAATCTCGAAGAGCTCAATAAAACTCAAAAGATTTGATCCATTGACAATCCTTATATCTATCGCAATTGGCGTAGCGGTGTATGTTACAAAGAAGAAATGGCCCAGACAATTCACCACTTACCAAGGCCAAGAGTTGATCAATCGAAACACAAGACATGTAGCTCATATTTCAGCCAATGCACCCAGAGTGGCGAGGTTCATCACCTTATCTTGTATAGTCATAACCTTTTTACTTTGCAGTTAATATTTAAACCTAATTCTTGTAGTTACTCTGTTCAAAGTCAAAATTATTGTTAAAGTGTATTGGAAATAGCTTTAAAAAAAAACTTTACAAAGTGCAATTGTCTCCAGACAAATAAGGAAGTTTCGTCAAAGCGCGAAAGTAGCAGATCATTATCGAATCCTCTATATGTGGCTTAAAGAAAAAAACACGATCAAAAACATACCTGTCAGACCACACAGGATACTCAGCTTTCCATTCTGGATGATTCCTATTGGCATAGAGAACTGCCGATATAGTGGCCCCATTACCGAGACCTTCATCTGCCTTCATTTTTTCCGAAGAACGTTGATTATGGGTGGATGGCACACCTGCAACGCTGGCAGTGTCCATTTCTGTGTTGTCGTTTATGTTTACCCAAGGACTTGGAGGTTCAGAAAACGCCGGACTAAACTGGGGACTACTAAAGAAAATGTGTTAAATAATTTATTCTAAATTATAAAGTTTTAACTTACTTGCTATATTCAGAATGATAAGGCGACGGAGGGAAGCTAACATGCTGAACTCCAGGTAACGCAGTCGGTCTAACTGGAGCTGAAGGCAAATGCATTTGAGGTATTATACCAGCTGTCGGTAGTTGAGACGAATTACTTGGAAACATTGGACTAATTGGAGTCGGCGTGGATGGCATTGAAGGATACATATTTGTGGCTTCTTGGGAAAGCTGCGATTCTTGCGATTCATCGGTAAGAACGCCCTGTAGAGGTAATACAATACAGTCAAGGCGGAAAGCAAAAACGATTCACAACAAAGCCTTACCTTAAATATATCCTCAACATCTTTACTATTTATATTAGGTATAGATTCTAGTGAAAAGTGTGATCCTAAAATATCACTTAATTCGTCTTTGGCATCTTTAGAATTTTCTGAGCTTCCTAAAGTCTGAGGAAGTTCTGCGTCATCATCTAAAACATGATACAAGGTCAAAAAAAGTATTTTTTTGTTTTAATTAATCTTTACCTGCCAAAGCATCCAATTCTGTGTTTTTAGTCAATTCATCATCTTCATTTATAATGCTATTAACCAAATCAGTATCCAGTAAGTCGCCAGGCAAAGCAAGTACATCTTTCAAGTCTTCAGCAGTGTCGTCCTCTTCCTCTTTAATCAAAATTGGTTTATCTATTTTTAAAGTATCTGAAAAGCCGTCTCTCGGTTGAGAGCGCCCCTCAGAGGTGGTCTTTTCTTGTCTAGCACTTTCAACTGCCAGTAGTTCCTCCTGGAAAGATTTTTTTTTTTTTTTCTAATAATAATAACAAATTATGTTACTTACTGCTGTTAACTTGATCGCCTGCTGCTTATTTTCAAAAAGTTTATCTTCGTCACTGCTAACACCGCCCTCCATTTCTTTTTTAAACTCAGTTACATCCATAAGATCTTTGCCAAAGAAAGCTTCCTGAAGATATGCAGGAAATGTTTCAGCCAATTTAGATTTTTGCTTGCGTCTTATGGGTTTCTTTTTTGGTTTATCGCCTTCGAGTGTTGACGTCATTGGTATTGGTAAATCAAAATCTAAAATAATTTTTATTTAGGGCAATTTCTGGAAACAGAAAAAAACATCTTACTAAGTGTACTTTGTCCAGGTAAAGTATCAATCTCATCATTTTCCTGACTCTTGAAGCCTCTCATCCGAACCAAAAAGCCTCCTATACCCAATTTTTGCAGATTTCTTTGCCGTTTTCTCCTTAAAACACATATACCACTTTCCATGGTAAAAATAGTAAATCCTTCAGGTGGAGAACCATCTTCTTTAGTCCAAATCATGCCTTCTTTATAAAGCTCTTGCGGTTCGTCTTTCATATCCACTAATTCTATTTTGGTATCTTCAAAACTATTTTCGCCTCCACTTCCTCCAGCAACAACTGACTCAATAGTTGCCATTATACCAGCTTCTTTATCATGTACAACTGGTGGAAGTTTCTTGCGTTTCTTGCGAGTACCGTGATACTCCTGGGAAAGGGATTTAATTAGACTATGGCCCCATTCGCTGAGACAAACACCATCGACGAAGATGTTGGGTTGCGAGCGGACCTCAGGGCTTTTAGTAGGCGTCGGTGGTTTGGGGGCTATCGAGGAAGGAATTAAGTGTGGAGGTGGGACGTCTCTAGGGCGGCATAGCAGGCAAGTGTAGCCATCTTCAGCGCATTTTTCTGCATCCTAAAAGCATAGTGAAAAATTGTTAAAAATTCTTCAATTTTCATAACTTTAAAAAGTTTATCGTGTTAGGGCCGGTACTTTTGCTCTCATTTAACAGCCGTTAAAAATAATCAGGGCTTAGAATGTGCTCTAACCACATCATACCTATAGACCTTGGCCCATGCAAAACTTTGATAACGTATCAAATTCGTTAATCGAGAGCAAAAGTATCGGCCCTTAAAGGATCTGTTTCATTCATACTTAAATGTTAATGTTATCTTAAATTTCCAGGCCTTTTGACGAATTTTCCCATCTTTTTCAAAGAAATTTAAACTACAATAAGAATAGGCAGCAAAATACAAAAAAAAGGTCAACCACAAACAAATAGGTAAAAAAAATTGAAATAAAAATAGTCAGTGAAGGATTATCAAAGGGACCTACCTGTTCTGTTTTAATGAGATCACATATACCATGTAACCACCGTTCACATTGAGCACATTGAATAATAAGATCTCCCTCAGAATATGACTCATTACAGCTAGGACAAGCTGAATGGGAGGCACATGGTCCACATTCTGTACATCCATTCATCCATGTGCTATTAAATCCTGGATCTGTGGAGCCACAGCTTCGACAACATGCACACCACTAAAAATAAAAATTATTCACAAATTTCTCGGATTAGATTAGACAAATATTTACCTTGCATTTCCAATTTCCATGTGGTACATAATCCAAAGGAGGATCCATACAATAAGTATGATAAGATACATCGCAATCGTCACAAAGGATTAGTCTGGGCTCGTCATTGCGTTGACCGCAGCCTTCGCAAACTGTACAGTCTAAACATCTAAAAGAAAATTCATAAGGAACTTTCTGTTTTTTAAATAAAAATCTTACCTCCAGCCTTTGGTAAGAATAACTTTAGTAACTTTAACGTTCACGCAGTTAGGATGATAGCATTGTCCACATTGAACGCAAGAAATAAGGCAACCTTCCTGGTCGGTGCCCAAGGCTCCACACATCACACAAATGTCTTGTGTCAAAACAAATTTATCTTTGGCAGAACACAAAACTAGTCGGTTTTCTACTCCTGGTTCTTCGTCTCCTTTACCATCAGATACGGGACGAGATAATCCAACTCCCGGTACTCCAAACACACCCCGTATTTTAGCTTTGGCGCCTCTTTTACGGCCAAATTCGACTAAGCGCTGACGTTTCATGAATCCTTGTTTGCCAGGGTTGCCTAAAGATATTGGAGATTTTTTTATAGTAGTCTATCTTCTCTTTGAAAGAGAGTATTATTATTAGGAAAAAAAATATAGTTATGGCGTACTAAGTATGTATTGTAAGTATATGGATCTGGAGAAATATTTTGCAATAGGTAAAACTCAGGTTAGAATTAGTATTACAAGATTCAGAAACATATTGACTACTGAAGCTGAAAATGTTTTCCTAGAATCCAGAGTCTTATTTTCAAAGCTGTGATCAAATAAAAAACTTAGAACAAATACTTTGCTATAGGTACTGAGATTTTATTTTATTGAAATCAAATAAAAGTTTTGAAAGCAATGTTAGGTACATATTTGAAATTGGAGTCAAACGTAAAGGATAATTCTAAATGAACAACATAAAAGTGAGAATTCAAAAAAAAGCAATAGATTTAAACCTAACAGCAACTATTCAATTTTCTGCTGGAAAAGTACTGTTAAAATTCTCATTCCAGACAAACAAAATAATCAAACAAATTAAATGTTTTAATGAAATCACTGTTACCTTTGCCAAAACTACCCTTTGGTCTCCCAGGCATTCCAGTTGAATAACTCAATTTCTTTTTTGCAATTTTACTTGCATATGGTTTGCCTTTTCCCAACCCTGTCCCTCTGAAAGATTCTTCAGAAGGCATATCAAATTCTGATATGTCATCATATAAAGATTCTTGGGAAGCGGACAAATCTCCAAAGTCATCTAGACCTAAATTATTACACAGATAAAATTTGATGTAAAATATTAAAAATATATTTACTTGATCTTTTGCTAGTGACAGGGCGGCTGGAGAGTTGCTGCAATGAATTTTTACAAATAACGCAATGATACTCATAATCAGGATTTATTTCCTTTTTCTGTTGATATGTTACCAAATCTGCTTCTGGATCACATGTCCCATGAACAAACCTAATTTGAAAAAATAAATTGATTAAACCTAATTGGACATTAAAAGAAAATTTGGCTTACTTCCGGCAGGTTCCACATTGCACCATTTCCCTATGAGCATGTGATCTATAAGCCCTTTGACAAATTGGGCAACAACAACCTTTATTTCTTTGTTGATAGCACGAATCGCAAACTGTATAGTGTAAATGCCATCTAGAAGATAGACCAGCGCCTGGTGTTCGGGAACCACAGTCGCCACATACTCTACAACATCTACATTTCCAACCATATTTTGGAATGGACGTAACTAATGGGCGTTGACAGCTGGCGTGATAAACCTTGTCACACTGCTCACAACTCATCAATTTAGTTTCGTCCCCCATCATTCGACAAACTTGGCAATTGCGACATTTTCTACATTGCCAACCAGCCCTTACGCCAGGTAACTGAGCTAAACCCACACAACTTCCATGATAATGCGTGCCACAGCTTGAGCAATACATTAAGTTTGAAATATCTCCCACGCTTTTACACGTATAGCAAATGGCGGATTCCGAACACATGGCAGCTTCGTGAAGGTGATTGGTGCAAAAAACTTGCAAACTAGTGATATCCTGGAAGGCACCTGAGGCAGTGGCGCATGGGAAATGATAAACTTTTGTACAACCGGTCGACCTGCATGTGAGACTTGCACCGAAATGATTACAAAATGAACATTTCTGAGATGAACTTTTTAGTACAACTGGTCCAACATTTTCTAAGGCTTGATGTTCTAAAACAAAAATATAGTTGAAGTTTTAGGTGAAAATATAAACCTACACAAAGAGAAAATCGAATAGAGCAACTGAAATATGTTATGGCAGCATAAAAAAAAAAAATATGGAAAACTAGATTTTTTTTTGTGTCCCTAGTAAAGGCAAAAGAAACGCTGGCTCAATAATAATTGTAAAACTAGTGTAAAAATTATAATTTTTATTTACCTGTGCGGGTAACCCCATTTGACCATAAGGCACAGTTTCTATGAACATAAAATTGTCCACTTATTTCATACAAAATGTTCACACTTGGTTCTTCAGCATGTCCAATTATGGTAAGCTCATCTATATGTTCATTATTGGACACAAAACTTCGACTTCTATTAAAATTTTTATTCCTCCTACAATAATATTAATCAAATTAAATAACCTTGCTCCAAACGAAAATAAATTCTGATATACAAAGCAGTGCAGTACCATCTAGCCCAGCAAGTGAAAATTCGATAAACCCCTAACCATTAACAATATAGGAAAAACAAAAAAAAATACAATATAGAGAGCACAGATTTAGTGACACTTTCACAATACAAAAATTATTATACACATTAGGCCTTTTCGGAAACACTGATCCGATTAACCGGATCATTAGCTGATATCCTTTGTCTATTTTCAATCGTATTCATTAAAGGAAGATAAAAGACAAACAGCTGGTGATCGGGTTAATCGGATCACTATTTCCGAAAAGGCCTATTGATTTTAATATTGCCATACCTGCATGTAACAGGACCACGCGGACTTTTATCACCAAAATCCCTATCTGGTAATTGAACAGTTGGAGTGTTAGATTCACCGACTGATCTTTGAGGCGTAAAACCATCTGGGCAATTTAATCTCATTATTTCACCTTGTCCTAGCTGACTGCGTTCACCCAAATTACAAAAAGCACAGACCTAAAAATAGAGTTCAATATTTAATAAAATATATACCATAATTATTGTTATTACTTTTCCAGGCCAGACCTCTGGTGCATAAGGTAGTTCTTCAAAAACTGGACTGGGTCTTTCCCTTTCTGGGAAGAAAAAACCATCGATGTCAGTGAGACCCATGTCATCAATAGAAGTAGGGCTACAAATAAAAATTATGATGACAATGAAAACCTTCCCAAATACTAACATTTTTGAAGTACAAACCTGATATAAGAAAAATCAAAATCCATTCTGTCTGGTTGTCTAACACTCCTGGATCCTCTACAACGGGAAAATCCAGCAGATTTTGCTCTTCTAACTCTGGGAACACCAACGCCACCGGACCTTCTGGGAGTCGGTTTACCTGTGAAAAATAAGCATCAAGGTATTGTGGAAAAGTTAACAAAAAATATATGAAATTTAGATTGTACCTCCTTCTCTCCTAGGACGTCCACGGCCCCTTTTAATAGTAACAGGTTTCCCGTTAAAATTGAAAGGTGGTGGAAAATCATCATTGGTGTGTGGTGATGAGGCTGCAGATGTCGCATTAGATGCCGGTCCAGAAGAAAACTGTTGAAAGGGAGATGATGATGGGTCTTCAACAATTTCTTCGTCATCGTCTTCAATTTCATAAGTTTCCGGTTCTTCTAGATCCATAAGCTCGTCTGGATCTAGAACCGGAGGTAATTCATCCATGGTCTAATCAAAAAGAAAAAATTATTCACATAACTATAGCACTATAACACTCCCCACCCCGCAGCAAACCGGCCCAAAGTTTGCAGGGGGAGGTCGGACTTTAGATCCTTGCTAAAGAAGTTTTTCAGGACTCGTCTGCTATTCCGGACTTGGCTAACGCCTCGTCCGGAAACAGCAATGATTCGTCCTGAAAAACTTCATTTTAGGTACTTGTGACAAAATAGTTATTTGTGTACCAAGGCCGTAAAGTTGATCTTTTTTGGCCGAATCAGAAATTTGCGGCCGAGGCGCAGCCGAGGTCAAGCAAATTTCAGGTGAGGCCAAAAAAGATCATTCGGCCGAGGTGCACACAAAGTTTTTTAGGCGAGTGTTTGTTCTTGAAAAAAGAATAAAATCCAACAGCTTTAAACTTTATTGATCAAATAAATAATCCAGCAAAGATAGGTAGATACACAATTATTAATAACAAAAACTAGGATAAAGAGAGTGTGATTATAGAAAAAATTGTTTATTTTCATCAAAGTAGCGGCCGTAAAGTAAAAGCCGCCGTGAAGTAAAAGCGGCCGTGAAGTAAAAGCGGCCGTGAAGTAACAGCGGCCGTAAAGTAATAAAGCAAATGCGGCCGTGAAGTGAATGCGGCCGTAAAGTAAATGCGGCCAAAAAAGATATACTTTAGGGATGATATTGAATCCGTAAAACTAATCTTTTTGTGACAGTCGCCTAAAAATAACTATTTTTCGCAAGTAAAATGGCTTCGAACATGAATGAAAATGGAAAAAATCGGCGGGAATTCCCAAATTTGGGCTCTACAAAGCCTGCCTCATCTACTATGTATGTGTAAAAAATTAATTGTCTAGCATGAAAATTTAAAAAGTTAGTTAGCTCTTTTTTTGGAGGAAAAAATCATTTCTCGAAGACTAAAAGACCTACAGGATTGTATGATGGCTCAGTGTAAAGCTTGTTCAATGCTCTAAAACTATTGCCCTAGTAGCAAAACCATCCGATCATTACTTTTCGAAATACAGTGAAATAAGCAAAAAAAAAAAACCTATTTTTGCAATAAATATTGTTAATAAAATCCCCTAAAAGTAATTAGATGTTGCATTTTTGGTTTTTAGCATCTATAAATGATCCTTAACAATACTGCATCGCCAGTTTGTTGTAAAATTTTATGTTACGAAAAAATTTATCTGCCCTGGCCTAAATACACTATTATTAGTTTAGATAGTAAGTTTCTATATGCTTTATATTTATTAGGTTATTCTGTAGCATTCATGAAAGTATTACATTGTTTCTTTAGTTTATCTCTATTTTGTATAGAGACCACAAGGCTATCAGTGATCCATGGTTTTATTATTTTTTTCTAGCTACTAATTTGTCTATTTTTTTAGGCTTTCTCAATTAGGTACACTAATCATTGTATTAATTAAGGTATTCGTGCTTAAATTTACATTAGTTTCCTCCAGAACATTTCCCCATTTTTCCTGTGATATGAGTATATTGATTTTATCATAATTTTAATTGATTTATCAGGGGGTCTATTCTCTACGAGTTTATAATTTAAATTATCGTTTTTAAGACTAACTAAGATCGGGTAATGATCTGTCAGGTCCGACGTCAGGTCCTTTGTCAGTATGGTTGATTTTAGATTATTTAGGATTTCATCCCCTACAAACACATAAGAACGATTTTGGTCCATGACCATTTCAGTCAGGAGTCAGTCAGCCAATACTAGCTAGGAAGATGTTTCTATCAATAGCAAAAGACCTACAGTGTGTGCCATAAAGTTGGGTACATATGGGAAAATTCTTAATTATTCCTTTTTTTCGAAAAACTTATTTTGGGGATCGTTAGGGCATGTTCGATAACCAAAAAATCGATTATGACACATGTCATGTTATTTTTCTGATGACCAGAAAATGTGCAAAAAGGGACATGGGTACAGTTATAGCAACACGAACGGACAGTGTGTAGGTATTTCGCAAAACAATCGTTTGATATCATACTTATGTAGTTTAGTTGAATAAAGCTATTTTTGAAATAAAATTAATATTTTTGATTTTCCATTTAATGGTATGAGTAAAATAAGTAGTTTTTTTTTCTCTGATTTACTTCAAAATCGGCATGTGGAGTTCTTTTTGGATTTTGCACAACTTTTTCTTATAAAATTTTTTGATATCTTGCCAAAGGACCCCGCACACCTCTTATGGGATTTGGGACTTCCGCCAATTTTAACCAAATTTTAGTATGCAATAGATTCCACCTTCCTGATTAATAACTACCATGGACACAACTTAATCCTATGACTAATTTTTGAGATACAGGTAGTTTATTGTTCAAGAAATGTACTCATTTTATATGCATTTACATCTACTTGTCACCTGAGCGTGAGGATACCTGTCTATCCAGGTATATTATTAGGTGAAAGGTAGATGTAAATGCATATAAAATGAGTACATTTCTTGAACATTAAACTACCTGTCTCTCAAAAACTAGTCATAGGATCAAGTTGGGCCAATGCTAAGTATTGATCAGAAAGGTCAAATTTATATCATACTAGAATTTGGCTAAATTTGGCGGAAGTCCCAAGTCCCATAAGAGGTGTGCGGGGTCCTTTACCCATTTTTCAATATCAATATCAATTTTTTTCAAAATTCCCGCTAAACCGATAATCGCGTGACATGTGTCATAATCGATTTTTTGGTTATCGAACATGCCCTAACGATCCCCAAAAAAAGTTTTTTTGAAAAAGGAATAATTAAGAATTTTCCCATATGTATCCAAATTTATGGCGCACACTGTATAAGTAGCCAAAATATCAATCATACTATGATTTTTTATTTTTTTGAACAGAGACCCTAAAGGCCGTATCAGACGTGCCGTTGCCGATTACTATTAACGATTACGAATGGGAATTCGACCAATCAAAATGTACCTGCTTCTGGTTGCGATTGCCGTTGTATGTTTAGGTTGGAGTCTAATGGCGTTTCCGATTGGTAGATTTAGTGCGGAACTAGTGCAATTTTTTTTATTTCTGTCTTTTTCTTGTACAGGTCGATCAAAAGGATGCAAATACACTCAGTGCGCACTGAATCTACCAATCGGAAACGCAATAAATTTTACGAGGCTGTTCTGAACCGTAGCCAATGAAAGCGCTTCATGAACAGCATGTGACATGTGTCTAAACATCACTTTTTTGTTTTGCAATTTATCGCTTCTCCGGTGTTGCACACAAACCTATTTTGGTTTGGACCTTTCTCTTTCCTCTTCTTCCAATGTAATCATATAGCCTTAGAGCAGGTAAGTTCCTAGGTGGAAGGAGTAGGAACATAGAGTTGGAAAATGAAGCCGTTTCTTCCAGGTATTTTGAGATCCAAAATAATGGCGTTATGTTAACTCAATGCTTTACCTATCATTTGGTCTACAAACCCCTGCTAAAAACTGGCTTCACTTCAGTTTCATAGCAGAATGGCGCGTTCCTACTCCTTATGTCCGTAGGACAGCGTTTTACCTGCTCTAAGCATATAGCACATCAACGGCGGCAGAAGAAACTTCCCGAAGACGTTCGGCGCTGAACTTTGAATATTTTAGCTACGACATTTTGACGTTATAAATATTTCAAGCGACCAGTAATCGGTAAACGGAACGGTGTCAAGTGTGATCAGTGTGATTGCAACCAAGACGGCAACGGCTAACGGAATCGGAAACGGCACGTCTGATACGGCCTTAATAACCCTGACTGGCTCCTTTACTTTACTATACTAAGCCTCTCGCTATGCCTAGATCTCATTTTTAACAAATACAATGACATCACACCTATTAAGATCACTGCCGTTCCAGAACAATTAAAACTCTTTTATGTTGAATAGTGATAAATCATTAGCTCTATGAGTTTCGGACATTACAATAATATCAAATTCTGTTTTTGTAGCTTCCAGAAATACAAGAAATTGATCAAAATTTTGATGGATACTTCTAATATTCAAGTGTATGATAATAATATCATTATTATTTTTGCTTAATTTAGTTAAATCGTTAAATCATCACATAAGTTTGTATTAATTATTTTATAATCATCTAAGATTTCTATAAATGGTGTGAATGTTATTATGGTGAGTAACTATGTATCACAATCCACATATGGAGTAACTGTACTTTTCATTGTGAAATTAATTAGTTTTTCAGATCAACGTTAGATCTAATTTTAATAGGAGCATCTTGATCTGTTTTTTTAAGTAGATAAGTTATAAATTGAATTTACCTATTTATAAATAAATAAATAAATAAATAAGTCTTTATTTCCAACAGGAATAATCCCAATTACAGGAAAAAGTACAAAAAAAAATTAAATAAAAATAACAAACAAACAAATCTATAAAGTAAAAAAACAAAATAAAAAAAACAAAAAATAGAGCAGGTAGACACAAAAATGGTGTTCAAGTAGATGCGAGTAAACTATAATTAAGGCAGGATAACAGCAAACAAAATCAAAGTATAGTGTAACAATTGTAACAAAAAAAAAAAAAAAAGAGAAGGTAAGCAAGTCAAGCAAAAATCTAAACATTCAGTACAGCCTGAATTATTGATTGTATAGAATCGACATTCATGTCACAGTCTTCAGAAACCTCATTAAAAACTCTGCACATAAAATATAAAGGACTTCTGTATAACATGTTGGTTCTGGCAGTGTGCAAATAAAATGTCTCATTATACCTACCCACCAGCCTGGGGACCCTGTAATAAATGCTCTCAACAAGATTTGGACAGTCTATTTTACCATGCAAGAGGTTATACAGAAACTTGACAGCTTGGAGCCTTCGTCTCTGAGCCAAAGACACTTCATCAAACTCCAAAAGTAACACAGTATGGTCAAAACCTCCATCGGGATAGAAACCATGTCTTTTGAAATGGAGGTACTTAAGAAAACGCCTCTGAATAGACTCAGCTGCAAAGAATTACGCCATGGTTCAACTGTTTCTTAAATAGAACACCGTGTTTTTGGA